ATTAGGCGACACCATATTACCTTTCCACTTTATAGACACTTGGGACAAATATTACACACGAACATCACCCAACTCATTTGCCGGTCAACCTAAAATAAAACGGTCAACCTGTATTTCCCGTAGGTGACCACCTAATACAGATTTGACTGTATGGAGATTAACCAAACATGTTTTGCTTAAATGTGATTCAATCCACAGAATGTCGTTTATTTTATTAACACTGTCCAATGTCTAAAGCTAACCCTGGACAATTTTTTCTTATAAATAAGAGTATACAATTACCTATTTATGATATTTCAATAACAATAATTTTAAATCAATACAGTAGAAGCCCGCTGGATTAGGCGACACCATATTACCTTTCCACTTTATAGACACTTGGGACAAATATTACACACGAACATCACCCAACTCATTTGCCGGTCAACCTAAAATAAAACGGTCAACCTGTATTTCCCGTAGGTGACCACCTAATACAGATTTGACTGTATGGAGATTAACCAAACATGTTTTGCTTAAATGTGATTCAATCCACAGAATGTCGTTTATTTTATTAACACTGTCCAATGTCTAAAGCTAACCCTGGACAATTTTTTCTTATAAATAAGAGTATACAATTACCTATTTATGATATTTCAATAACAATAATTTTAAATCAATACAGTAGAAGCCCGCTGGATTAGGCGACACCATATTACCTTTCCACTTTATAGACACTTGGGACAAATATTACACACGAACATCACCCAACTCATTTGCCGGTCAACCTAAAATAAAACGGTCAACCTGTATTTCCCGTAGGTGACCACCTAATACAGATTTGACTGTATGGAGATTAACCAAACATGTTTTGCTTAAATGTGATTCAATCCACAGAATGTCGTTTATTTTATTAACACTGTCCAATGTCTAAAGCTAACCCTGGACAATTTTTTCTTATAAATAAGAGTATACAATTACCTATTTATGATATTTCAATAACAATAATTTTAAATCAATACAGTAGAAGCCCGCTGGATTAGGCGACACCATATTACCTTTCCACTTTATAGACACTTGGGACAAATATTACACACGAACATCACCCAACTCATTTGCCGGTCAACCTAAAATAAAACGGTCAACCTGTATTTCCCGTAGGTGACCACCTAATACAGATTTGACTGTATGGAGATTAACCAAACATGTTTTGCTTAAATGTGATTCAATCCACAGAATGTCGTTTATTTTATTAACACTGTCCAATGTCTAAAGCTAACCCTGGACAATTTTTTCTTATAAATAAGAGTATACAATTACCTATTTATGATATTTCAATAACAATAATTTTAAATCAATACAGTAGAAGCCCGCTGGATTAGGCGACACCATATTACCTTTCCACTTTATAGACACTTGGGACAAATATTACACACGAACATCACCCAACTCATTTGCCGGTCAACCTAAAATAAAACGGTCAACCTGTATTTCCCGTAGGTGACCACCTAATACAGACCACCTAATACTGGATTAACTGGATTAACTCAGACTCCCCCTAGTAACTCGAGCAAGACCTGATTTCCCTTGATCCATTGTTTTAGTCATTGACTATCAGCTGTATGTAACTTTTGGGAGTTCGAGTTAGAGGGGTTTACTGTGTTTAGCGGAAATTCAATTCCTCTTTTTCTATCACATTTGCTTTTAAAAGTAAACCTAATCCTAATTACCACACTTAGGAGAGGGACTGAAAAGTTCCTATACTCTAAAAATTAAAATGGATAAAAAATAATGCTAACTGAAAAAATATTCAATGCCGCGGCCGCTGGTTACGAAATATTTAATGATCGATGTATCTTCAAATAAATAACCATTTCATCCCATCCACCTTACCACTCCAAACAACTAATACACCCTGAAGATATTAAAGCCAAAATTTGTTCCTTGCAGCTTTGTGAATCTCTGTAAAATTGATGCTAGAAGTCAACAAAAACTCCAACCCCATTTTTCTCTTTTTCTTGTCATTCTTGACAGTCATGAACAAGCTGCAGATCTGGGCCCAGTTGTTCGAAGGCCAATTAGCACTAACCTAGGGTTAAATTTTAATCCAGCTTTCATTATTTCTCTGTTCAAAAGCCTTTTCGGGAGAATTTTCTCTATTCTTTTTAGAAAATCCAATTATCAAAAAATTAATTGTGGACAAAACTGAATAAAAATTGAAAAACTGAAAATCGTTCCACCACTCTAGCCTTGTCACATCTAAGTATATGCCTAAGTTACCTATGGTCTAATCAAGGACTACAGCCTGTTAGTACCTTAAAAGACAATAGACGTGCATGCATAAAGTTACTATTATAATAGTAACTCCGATGTGCTCTGTGCTGTTCTCAATTCCAAATCTTGTTGCTAATATTGGTTACACATTCACATAGCACAGTCAAGGAGCAAGTTCAACATCCAACAAATGTACTAGCCAGGCCAACTCCACTACGGTCACTGACTTTGCTCAAATGTGATGGCA